AAGTGTTGTTCTAAATTTTTTATACAGACCAAAAAAATTAATAAATAAATAAATATAATATAATATTAATTTTACAAAATTAACTATATTATTAATCTTCTTTATTGGTAATAACACCACATGGCACAACAACTTTCTAAATAGTACTATAAGAGATATAAAATAAAAAAATTTAATTAATATTATATTAAAAAAAAGTAAGATAATACTTATTTTTAGATTTTTTTTTCTCACAACACTTTACTAATTATAAAAGTTTTATTTCTAGAAAAAAACTAATATAAAAGAACTCTTATACATTAAATTATATATAAACTAATTTTAGTTTATAAAAAGAGTAATTTATTGATTTATTTTTCCAAGTGTATATGTATTGGGATACAAACAAGTTACACATCCATAAAATAAGAGAAGAAATAATAATTTATGAAACACACACACAAATCCCATAAAAAGATAGGCCTTTTGGGTGATGACCAAAAATAAAATTGAAAGGACTTAAACTCAAAGTGGACAATATTTCATTATTGTGAAGTTGTATGTGAAATAATCTTATAAAATATCTCCTAAAAAAATAAGAAAAGAAATAATAACTTATAAAACACACATATACTCTAATGATTGAGAGCAAAATCATGATGATTTATGTTCAAAATGGATAATATCTCATCAATACCATAAAATAACCCCATCAATATGAAGGTAAGCCAATTTAGATATTCCGTAGACCACCAATCAAGCAGGAAATAAAACTATAAAAGTGTTTTCCCTTAATTATAAAATAAAAATAAAAAAAAATCTTGCACTTTGAAGTTTTGGTATATACTTCATGTGTGATATATATACCTTCTGAAGGTCAATAATTTATGGTTGATATAAATATAATATAATTTTCTTCCATGAACATGTGGAAGATAAAGGTTCATTACTAAAGTACAACAATGAAGAGCGCAATAGTTGACCTTCGCTACGATCTAACTAATAGGAAGATCAAATCATTGGTTACGGTCAATAAACATTGCATTAAGTATGAACAAGCACCACACTGCGTTAATTGCAGATTTTCTTTTGCCATCGGGGAAAAGACATTGTCACTTTTTTGTTCATTGGTTAACTCATACATCTCAAAGTCCAATTCTTTGAAAATTTCTTTCTCCTTGTGTAATAAGAAACACGAAAACTTTAAAGCAACTGGGAAAACCAATTCACATGAAAGCAAAAATATACTATAGTCATAGTGGAAATTTTAATTTGACATTTGCACACTTCACTAGAAAATAAATTAAAACCCCGTTCGGTCCATATTGCTTCAAGACACGATCTCATATTTTAATGCAGGTTAATTGTTCTCTATAATATCTCAAAGAAGGAAGCAAACAAAATGGTGGAAAAGGTCAATGCGTGTTTATCTTTTATATTTCGTTGAAAAATTAAACCAATCTATTTTATCTTCTAAACAATTTACCCACCAATGACATATCCGAATCATCGTTATCCTAAGATCATACGTTTTTATAGCCCTCTGGACTCATCTCCCACCGCGACTTTTTTATCAGTTGAATAATTTATGCATGCTTAATAAAATATCATCTTTAATATCTCTGTTCCCCTAGTTGGATTTGTTTACAGATGACTCACTTTCATATAAAAATTGACGGCCCGTTTTGCTCAAACAATTGCAAGTCCTAATCCTACGGCTTTTAAAAAATATATTTTGATGGGGGTGATTGTGTTAAAATAATAAGAAAATGCATGATACATAATTTCCAAATGCACTAAAAATGGCACAATTGCTTCATCTAGATTGGTCATGCCTCAATTATGGAATCCAATGTATATCACCATCATCATCATACATAAGCAAGTTTCACATGCTTATAATAACACAAGTGAAGTGATTTTCTTCTCAAGTTCTCATCATATGGTTTGGCTTGATCAGTGACGTGTCCTACATAGCACAATTCTTGCCCCCCTCAATACATGTGACGATTAAATTCATAGAACACTCGTAATTATATATTCACTTTCCGTATTTCATTTGCATACTTCTTGTCCCCCTTGTACTTTCTTTCCTCTCTTGTCCTAATCAGATACCGAAGAACCTGAGATATAGAAGTTTCACAAATACATGTAGTGTGTTTTGGAACAACTTTGTTACGAGGGAAAAAAATCAATCAATTTTTCACAGTAAAGTTAAAACAATAAACCAATATTTAAATATATATCCAAATTCTAAGCAGAATACAAGTGAACTCAATGAGTATTTTTTTTACTCATCTTTATTTAACGTAGGACTTATCATATAGACTTGCACATGAATACTGATAATAAATTACGGACATCAATAATGGTGAAGGAAGGTGACTATAACACGTTCAAATTTACAAGAAACTTGAACTACTTTTCTCGTTAGGATCATAATTTTTTAGGAACACCTCAATAATTGAGGGTCGGGTATTTTAATTTATAAGACTAAAATTATTGTTGTACAGTACGCATTGAGCACTTTGGTCTTTATGGTTTTAGGTGCATGATTGACTTATAAAAAAAATGTGAAATATAGTATTAGATAAGGCATGCGATACATGAAAAATATGGGTGGATTGCTGCTGCAAGCCTCTTTATGATACAGGGTACTCTAGTTATGTATGAAGGCTTCCTGGTTCCTCCTTTTTTCCTTGATTCCTTCCTTCATTTCTGTATAGGACATGTGTATGGTTTGAATGGGTAGGGTTACCTCGGCAAAGTAACTTCGAAAAGGAAACTTTTACAATGTAGTTTGAAACAAAGAAACCTATTCAATACTAAAAAGTAAAAGCTAAAAACCCATCCCACAAAGGCACAAACTGAGTCCAAGTCACAAGTCTGAAATCTTCAGCCTCAATTTTCTTAATTTTAACCAAAGTCAGCATCATATCAGTAGTACGAGACCCTTTCCTCTGTCTTCTTGTCATCAAACAAAAAGTTATTATTGCAACTGTTATTAGTGCCAATTAACTGTTTAATTTCCTCTAGATCGCCATAATCCAAAGGATTTTGTTCCCACAATCCATTTTGTTTGTCTGTCCACCCACTAACACTACCACTAGCAGCATTGGAGAACATCAACTTGTGAGTAGTATCTTCCGCCACACTGTAGAGGTGGTTAGCCCCAACAAAAGTTGCATCACCAAACTCTGGCTCCATGGCATGACTCAAGTTGTTGCAGCTCCCATCGGAAG